CGAAAACGTCGGAAACCCTCGAGCGTCGAACGGCCCCCCCCACCCCAAACGTTGCCCCCCTGAGCCTATCAACCTCCCAGCGTTGCCCCTGACCCCTGGCGTCCCCCGCAGGGCCTCCGCGACTGGCCGCTCGCTCCCCTCTCCGCGGGAGACGCGCGGGCCGACGCCGCCCTGCGCCGACGCGACGTAGCTGGCGCAGCCGTCCGCCTGGCAGGCGACGACGCCGCCCGCCGACGTCAACGATGCCGCCGCTCGCCAGAGGTCGAGCAGGAGATCGGCTGCGTAAGTCTACGGAGCATTCCACGTATTTGTTTGCAGAGTCAACCGGCAAGTAATTTCAGGGTGAATAGATTCTGTAGTCGATCTCCTACTCGAAGTGGCGCCGACGCCGCCCGCCGACGCCGCCGCCCACTTCGGCGACCCCGAAGGGTGTGGTCTGCAAAGGGTGCGGTCTGCAACCCGCACTTACTAGTGCTTGTTGTTGCACGTGAATGGCAAGATTTCGGTGACTACCATTCCACTGCTTCGGAAAACATGCTTGCACTAAGTTGCCGGTACTTTTTCACTACAGTCCAAACTATGATCAAGAAAGTCATCAATTAAGAGAGCTGGGCCAGCTTTTCAGAGGTTTCTCAAGGAAACGCTGGACCAGCTTTGGGAGACAGGAACAGGAAGCTACCAATCCCCTTCAGAAACTGAGCCAACTTTCTGTCAAGTTGGTTAAGAAACGCTGGGCCAGCTTTTCGGGGGGAGGTTTCTTAATCAAATGTTCGACCGTACTTCCGTAATCTCGTCCTGTAGCTCATTTGGCATCACAAACTCTGTGGGCGGGCGAGGACCTCAGCAGAGTGCACCGCCGCGCCCCGAGGCGTCCCGACGAGGGCCACGAGGTGCTCCCCGAAGCCCCGCAGACGCAGATCGCAAAGCACACCCAGGCGCACGGTATGTTCACGTCGCGATGGCGTCGACGATGGTTTCCCCACAGATCGCGAAGCACACCCGGGCGCACGGCATGTTCACGTCGCGATGGCGTCGGCGATGGTTCCTGACACCGCGTGGATCGCTCTACCTTGAACGGTCGGCGGTGATCCGACCGCAAGATCGTTCAATATCGAACGATCCAGGGCCAATGGCGGCCTTGGAGCTTGAGCGAGGGCGCTGAGGAGGCTGCCGCAACGACGCAGCGCGAACCTGCCGTAACCGCACCATGCATGCTCCGTGGAAGACACGCTGGATGGGCTGCGGCCTTAGGGGGCCACATGCGAACCCTGCCCGCCCGAACGGCCCGCGGCGCACAACGCGCGGGCAACAGCCGGACGAGCGACACGCACACAACAAGCGGCCACGGCGCCTGCAGGCCACGGCGCCCGTCGGCCACGGCGCCCAGGCGGACCGCCCTCGACGACGTCGACGACGACGACCACCACCACGACGAGGCCACGCCCGCCTGGAGGGCCTCGCAGCCCGCCGCGGCCGCCGCCAGCCGCAGCGCGTCGAGCAGGGGCGCGGAGGCGAGCGCGCGCGCCAGCGCGGGGCCGAGCGAGGCGTCCAGGGCCTCGACGACGACGACGACGACGACGACGACGACGACGACGACGACGGCGGCGGCGGCGGCGGCGGCGACGGCGACGACGACTGCAACGTCGACGGCGACGGCGGTTGCAGCAAGGACGGCGACGATGACGTCGTGTCCGAGGTTTCTGCGCCTGGCCTGTTCTGGAGGCTCTCCACGACTAGGTGACGACATCCCAAATCTACCCCCATCAACCATCGAGTCTCCTGAACCAATTCGAGGCGAAAGTGAGTAGTGTTCATACTTGGCCACAAGTTCGACGAATTTCAGACCCTACCCCAGCCGCCCATCGTGTTGCCTGAACCGTTGATCGGCAAGGGTTTAGGGCTCGGACTTCGCCACCGAGCGACGACCAAGACGACCACGAGAACGGCCACGAGAGCGACCACGGCCAAGACGACGGGGGCAGGCGGGGGCCTGCGCGAGGGACTCCTCCAGGCGCGCCCCGAGGAGCGCCTCCGCCGCCTCTGGGCGCGGCAGCGCGCCGCGGTCGTCGCCGGCGACGTCCACGACGTCGGGCGCCCAGGACGAGGAGGGGGGCGGAATGGGCGACGGCGACGGGGACGGCCCTAGTCTCCAGGAGTTGCAATTTTTCACAACGGGCGTGTTCGCCCAGTTTCGGGCCCCGAGACCCTCACAGGTCGACCTGGCTCGAAAAATGACGCAGACGATGGCTCTGATCGTGATTGATCGCGGTGTCGCAGCTTTGTTGGGCAACATCAGATCTCAGGGGACGACGCCCACCACCACCACAACGGTGACGACGATTGGAACAGATAGGGAAAGAGAAGAAAGGGGGTCGAGCCAGGGGGGGTGCGAGGGGAATTGGGGGTGAGTGGAGGTAGAGGGAGCGAGAACGGCGATCGCAATGTTACATAACCCTTACGCTTGGATCAGCCCTCTGCGGGCCTTCCCGGGTTAAGTCAATATCATGGTTGAGCTTTCCTGACGATGGTGAGATGCAACGTTGGGGCACGGCTTAAATACATGTGCTGTCTCAGACCGACCGTAATATCCATAACTTATAAATCATCACATGTTCAACCCAGCGTGGTATTGAAGTCGGGGAGACTGGTCTGCCCACCATCCGGTCAAGTGAAGACAAGTCCATCCGGGCGGAAAAGAAATACGCCCGGTAATCGCCCTGACGCCAACTTCACAGCACGGAGAAGATACATGCAGAAGAGAAACAGATGATGCAAAATAACCGGTAAAGGATAGGTGGACGAGTCCAGCGTTGAAAAGGAGGGAGAATTGGAAGCACGATTCTAGATTGGCAAGCCTGGGAAGCGCCTGCCCCTCCTTTCCCCCCAGGCCTCCATCCTGCGACCCGCATTACATCTTCTGCTCCTCCTTTTCCCCCTCCTCCCCCTCCTCCTCCCACCCTCCCTCATGCTCCTTTCCACCCCCTCCTCCCTCCCCCCCGCTCCTCCTGCCTGGCCACGGCAACGGCGGCGGCGGCCATGGCATCTCAACGACAACAACGACGACGCTGACGCGGCGACAGAGACGAACGCTCGTGGCCTCCCCCGAAAGGCCGCCGGGAGACCCTCCCCCGGTGCCTCCAGGAACCCCGCGTGGGACTCAAGCGCGCCCGAAGCCTGGACACTCGACCCTCCACCTCCGACGTCGACAGCAACAGCGCTGGCGACGGTGGCGGCGGGGATGGCGACGGCGGCAGCGGCGGCGCCAGTGATCTCCCCACCACCACCACAAACAACTATGGCGACGACCTCCCCTGCACCAGGCGGCTGCCCGCCAGCGACCTCTGGCCTCGCGCAGCGGCCGGGCGCCGCGCACCTCTCCGAGGCGTCGTCTTCGTCGCCGCCGCCGCCGTCACCGCTGTCGTATTCACATTCGTCTTCCTCGTCGTCTTCGTCCCCTTTTTCGTTGTCGTCGTCGTCGTCATCGTCGTCGAAAGAGGGAGAGGAGGAGAGAAGGAGGAGGAGAAGGAGGAGGAGGAGGAGAAGGAGAAGGAGGATGAGGAGGATGAGGGGGCGGAGGAGGCGGAGGAGGAAGCGGAGGAGAACGAGAAAGAAGAGGACGAAGAGGGAGAGGAGAAGGAGGTGGAGGAGGAAGAGGACGAGAAGGATGGGGAGGAGGAGAAGGACGAGGAGGGAGGAGGAGGAGGAAGAGGAGGAGGAGGAGTAGGAGGAGGGCGAAAAGAACGGGGAGGAGAAGGGAGAGGAGAAGGAGGAGGAGGAGGAGGAGGGGGAGGGACAGAGGCAGAAGCAGAGGGGGGAGGAAGAGGTGAAGGACACGATGCGGCTAGTATCAGGCGGAGGAGGAGGAATAGGAGCAGTAACATCTCCCCATTACTCCTCCTTCGTAACCAACCCAGTCTCTGTCATCATCTCCTTCTCCCTCCACATATCCCCCCCGCTCCCCACCGCTGCCCGCTCTCACCTCCTTTTGTGTCCCCATCCCGCCCCTTCCTTCCCCGTCCCTCTAGCCTCAACTCCGATTTCATCCCCGCCTTCCCTACCACTCTCCCTCCCACGACCTCCCTCCCTACATGTTCTTCGCCTCCTCCTTCTGCCTCTTCCCCCTCCCCGTCCCTCTCTCCATTGCGTTCTCCCATGCAGGCCCCCGCTCCTGCCTCCCATTCCACCTCCCTCTCTTATCGGCCCTGCCTTTTTATACTATTCGCCCTCTCCATATACTTCCTTTCCTCTTCCCTTATCCCCTCCTCCCCTCCTCCTTCTACTGTCCATGTCTTGTTTCTCACCCCCTCTCCATCTACTTCCTGTCCGCATTCCCTCTTTTCTTCTCTCCACTGCCACATTCTCCCCTTCCCTCCCCTTCCCTCCCCTTTCCTCCATCTCCTCCTTCCCCTCGCTACGCGTCTCCGTCGAGGACCAAGCTACCTCTGCTGGACATGCCCTTCTTCCCATACCGTCCTGGTGTGATTTCTCTGGCAGTGCTTGCGAATCCGTTTCGCTGTGTATCCACCGCCCCATGTTCTTTGCTTTGCACCTGTCCAGCGGTCCTCGGCGGCGAGTTGACCCTCAGTGGCAGTCGAAGCTCCAGGTGTCTACAGTCTCAGTGGAATGCTGCACGTTGTGTATCGACACTGCCACAGTTGCTTGTCGGGCTGATCCGATTCGGGAAGGCTCCAGTTTCGACTGGGCTAATCATGCTCGGGCCCACAGGTTCATCAACACGGGGGTGGGCGCCCCGCGATGCACGGTGGCAGGACGCTGGTCCCCCCTTGCTCAGGCCTTCAAATAAATTTGGGGGGCCCCTTGGGCTACGGAACGTGAATCGGAGCAGCTGAGGGTCGGCGGCATGCTCCTGCGAGTCTCAGCCCGCCTCACGGCGGAGCACCTGCGCGTAGGAGCGGGGGCCTGACTTGAGCACTCCGCCCCTGCTTTCTGCGCCCCGATCGTTTCCACTTCGCTCCGGCGGCCTCCTCTTCTCGCCCTCGCGGTGGAGCCTTGCGCGGGCACGTCCTTGCCTGACCTCTGCGAGCACCATGGCCCCAATACAGATCCTGCCACTCATGGCAGGGCCCCCACGTGTATAGTGTCTCCCTGCATGGCTAACTGACACCATCTACGCTTGGCCAACCACGGTGAGTGGGTCTGTTCTCATGGACCCCGTGACCCACAGCCGTCTCCAAGGTAAAGACTCGGTGAGGGGGAGTTGCATACGGCTTCCAAGAAAGCGACCCGAACCCGGCTTATGTGATGCGTTGGCACTGGCTACCTGCGACAGTCGCAGTGCGCTTTCACCTTCTCCTGATGTCAGCGCTGATATCTCATTGTCTCAGTGCTTTGAGAACGCCCGTACCAGCTTGCAGGATTCGATGGTCTCTGGGTCTCACGGCACGGACGAGACTGTTTCCGACCAGCTTCAGCAGGACTTTGCGGGCTTCAGCTCGCGCCGTCAGTGGTCGCACCATGTTGATCCTGAGCGTGCTAGGAGGTTTCAGGAGCCTCAGTCTGAGACTGACGCTCCCGCCCACGAATCCGAATATAACGCTGCCAATGAGCAAGCCATTGTGGAGCAGCTCGTCGGCCCCCCGAGGAGCAAGTGTGTTCATGGGCGTTCGGTTACCCCCATGTCCCGTGCTCTTCCCCTTTGCCCCCGCCCCCTCCCCCCCAGCCTTTCTTCCCCCCACCGACGCCCAGAGAGAGCGCACCGCGACGGCGACGACCACGACGACGACGACGACGACGACGACGACGACGACGACCACGACCACGATGATGACGACGACGACGACGACGACGACGACGACGACGACGACGACGACGACGACGACGACGACGACGACAACGGTGACGGCGGCGGTGGCGGCGGCGGCGACGACAACGACGACGACGAAACGGGCGCGACAACTACGGACAGAGCGGCTGGCTGCCGAGGAGGCCAGCCGCCGCACCTGTGGTCGCTCCCACGGAAGGCCGCGGCGCCGCGCATCGCGCTCTTCGGCGAGCGCGGCACAGGGGATCCCCCAATTGCGCCTCCTCCTCCCCCTCCTCCTCGTCTTCTCCTCATCCTCTCCTCGTCTTCTCCTCGTCCTTCCTCATCCGCCTCCCCCTCGTCTTCTTCTTTTTCTTCCTCCTCCTCCGCCTCCTCCTCCTCCTCCTCCTCTTCCTCCTCCTCCTCCCCCTCCCTTCCTCCCTTCCTTCCTTCCTCCCTCCCTCCCTTCCTTCCTTCCTCCCTCCCTCACTCACTTCCTTCCTTCCTTCCTTCCTTCCTTCCTTCCTTCCTTCCTTCCTTCCTTCGCGCTCTTCGGGCAGTCCACGCCCGCGTGCCGGGCGCCCCGCCCGCGGGGCCACGCGGTCGGGAGACTTGCTGCCCGCCTGCGGCCCTGTCCTCGCCACGGTCGAGGGCCGAGGCGCGGGCTGGCCCGACTTGCCGGTGGCCTGACGCCCCGGCTCCCCGGGGAGGGTGGCCGCCCGGGACGGCCACGGCCCTGCGCGGAGGCGCCGTTGCGGCAGCCAGGTCTGCCCAGGCTGGCGGCCCGTTCCGACGACGCCGCCAGCCTGCCCTCTGTTGTGCCTCGGTAGTGTCCCAATCCAGGGAGGCCGGAAGGGAGGGGCGCGGGGGGCAAGGCAGGGGGCCCCAGAGAGGCCAAGACGGAAAGCCAGAGAGGGGCCGAGACAGAGCAGAGGGGCAGGGGGTGGGCCATGGCGGGGAAAGGCAGAGGGGCCCGGGACGGGCGAAGACAGGAGGGGCCCAACAGACGCCAGGCGCTGACGTACCTCAAGGACGCCTTGAAGTATGCATGCCGAACAAGGGCCTGAGCGGGGACCATGGACAACAAGGCGGGCACCACCGATGCGCACTTTGCCACACGCGCCAAATGTGTGGCAAAATGATTTGGCCGACCCCCGCATACCTAGGCCTAGTGTATTGCCAACAACCGGTATGTTTGTTTTTGTGGGGGGGAGGGCAGCGTCTCCTCGCCAGCTCGGTCGTCTCGTCCCCAACGGCGCTGGCCTCCTCGCCAGCGCAGCCGCGCGGCGGCTCCGTGTGCTGGCAAAGTGGCCCTTCCGGCCACCACAAATCGGGCAGACGAGGCCAGGACCATCCACCCACGACGGCCTGGCCGAGGGAATGATCATGCCGACGTGTGGGCCTGGCCCCCCCGCGCACTAGTGGCGCGACGTGTGGGCCTGGCCCCCCCGCGCACTAGTGGCGCGACGTGTGGGCCTGGCCCCCCCGCGCACTAGTGGGAAGAAAGGGACCGAGGCGGCGCAGTACGGCCACGGATGGCTGTCGCAAGGCGCAGGGAAGCCGCGCCGCCAAGGTCGCTGGACGACGGCGGCCCCCTGCCGCCTTTGGCCGGGCCAGTAGCCTGCGCGCCGTGCCTGTGGGAGGCACTTCCAGGAACTAGGAGAAAGGGAAGCTCGATGATGACGAGCAGCGCAGCCGAGAGGCGATCCATGACCAAGAACAAAGCAGGGAAGGGGAAGGGGGAACGGAGCGGAGAATAAGATCCTGCGGCCAAGGGCGAAGCGTAGACGAAGACGGCGCAGGAGGGGTGAGAACAGTCAGGGACTCGGACATCCCCGACGAGGTCGTCAAAAAAATGACGAGGCCGAGCCTGCATTTTGACGAGGCCTCCCGCTGCAGACATTCCACGAAACTCCCCTTCGTCAAAATCAGATGCGCGGTCGTCAAAAAACGATGGCGAACCCGAGTCCTGGCAAACCCGGGTCTTACGCTCCCCCGAAACAGGGAAGACTGATGCGGGCGAGCAGCGCTGGAGGGAGAAGATCGAAAACGAGGTCGGACAAGACCGGGCCAGTCTCTCCGCGGGCCTGCCCCCGGGCATGGCAGACTGGTGGCTGACGCAGCCCCGGTGCACGGCCAAGACGGGGTGGGTCACCCGCTCCTGCCACGCGAACCCACGGGCGCGCGTCTGCCTCCATCCAGGTCAGGGCGTGCGAGCTCGGGGCCATCATCCTCGAGACTCCGATCCCCGACTCCGCACGGCCAAGACGGGGTGGGTCACCCGCTCCTGCCACGCGAACCCACGGGCGCGCGTCTGCCTCCATCCAGGTCAGGGCGTGCGAGCTCGGGGCCATCATCCTCGAGACTCCGATCCCCGACTCCGCCTCCGCCCCCGACGGTGCGGTCCCCAGGAGGTTCCCCGGTGGAGGTCCAGGGCCCGGTCCTTCCGTTTCCCCCTGGTTGTTTGTCCGTGCGGTGGTGGTTGGCGGCGGCATCGGCGGCCCTCCCTCCCTTTCCCTCCGGCGGCGGTCTCCGGGCCAGGCGTTTTTCCCAACCATCCTGTGGTGTTGGGTCCTCGTTTTGAAGAGACGGTGCCCCGCGTCTCCTTCCTCCTCCTCTCCTCCTCCGCCTCCTCTCCCCTCCTATCATCCTCATCGTCATCATCATCATCATCATCATCATCATCATCATCATCATTATCATCATCATCGTCATCAGCATCAACATCATGGCCGCCATCATAACCATCATCGTCATCATCACCATCATCGTCGTCATCACCATCATCGTTGTCCTCGTCGCCATCATCGCACGTTTCGTGGCCCCATACGGAGCTCCACCGAAGGTCCCAGTGGGTGTGCCCGCATGCGTCCCGCACGCCCATTTTGGCACACCCCTCACACGTTTCGTGGCCCCATAGGGAGCTCCATTTACGGTCCAAGTGGCGCAGCTCGCATGGCGCCACCGCCCCATTTTGGCACACCCCTCACACGTTTCGTGGCCCCTCAGGGAGCTCCACCTGAGGTCCAAGTGGCGCAGCTCGCATGGCGCCACCGCCCCATTTTGGCACACCCCTCACAGATTTCGTGGCCCCTCAGGGAGCTCCTTTTGGCACACCCCTCACACGTTTCGTGGCCCCATAGGGAGCTCCACCTAAGGTCCACGTGGCGCAGCTCGCATGGCGCCACCGTCCCTTTTTGGCACACCCCTCACACGCTTCGTGGCCCCTCAGGGAGCTCCACCTGAGGTCCAAGTGGCGCAGCTCGCATGGCGTCACCGCCCCATTTTGGCACACCCCTCACAGATTTCGTGGCCCCTCAGGGAGCTCCACCTGAGGCCCAAGTGGCGCAGCTCGCATGGCGCCACCGCCCCTTTTTGGCACACCCCTCACACTTTTCGTGGCCCCTCAGGGAGTTGCACCTAAGGTCCGAGTGGTGCAATTCGCATGGCACCCCTTGACACGTTTCGTGGCCCCACAGGGAGCTCCATCTCAGGTCCAAGTGGCGCACCCCACATGGCGCCGCAGACCCACTTTGGCACACCCCTCACACGTTTCGTGGTCCCATAGGGAGGGAGGAGGAGGAGGAGGAGGAGGAGGAGGAGGAGGAGGAGGAGGAGGAGGAGGAGGAGGGCGAGGAGGAGGACGAGGAGGAGAAGAGGAGGAGGAGGAGGAGGAGCAGGAGGAGGAGGAAAAAGGACCGCCCTGGCCGCTGTCGCCGCCGCCGATGCCGCCGTCGCCGCCGTCGGCGCCGCCGTCGGCGTCATGCTCGCGGCCCCACAGGCGAACGGGAGAGAGGGTCCCCTCCCCCTCCTCCTCCTTTCCCTCCTCTTCGCTTCCTTCTCTTTGTTGCCCGCGCGCATCATCATTGTCCATGCTTGTTGAGTCCACTTAGCTGTGAAGCCATCCATTGCAAAGAATCCGAACCATCGCGGCGTGTGGCCTGGCCCCGACCGGTGTCTAGGATTCTTCAGCGACGGGTGTCTCATGGCCTCTCCAACCGTACGAACGGATTCATAAAGCCATGGACATAGATGTTCGTCGTCGTCGTCGTGGTCGTCGTCGTCGGTGTCGTCGTAGTCGTCGTCGTCGTCGTTGTCGCCGTCGTCGCCGCCGTTGTCGTCGTCGTCGTCGTCGACGTCGTCGTCGTGCTGCGTCGTCGTCGACGTCGTCGTCGTGCCGCTGTCGACGCCGACGCCGCCGCCGCTGCCGTCGTCGTTCATAAGAGCGCGTTCATAATTTGCGTTGTGTACCCCGCCATGTTTCGGCATACCCCTCATGCGGTTCGTGACCCCATAGGGAGCGCCACCGAAGAAGGTACTCACAATTGCGGCACTCACAACTGCATATGGTTGGGTCTTTCGTCAGGATAATTTTCACGTTATGTTCGTTGTTTCGCCCTCCTTGTGCATTGCATTGCTGTTCGTTTCCGAGACACGATTTGCTCTCAGTTTCTGCTTGTTGCGGCTGTTTCTGAACAGCACCGTGCCTGAGAGGAAAGGACGAGAACTCCCGCCTCTCCACCACCACCGCGCAAGGTCGGAGAAGAGGATCCAGCGGCCAAGGGCGAGGCCTCTCGCTTCAATCAAGGGGGCCGAGGGGCAGGGAGGGAGGCGAGGCGAGCAGGAGAGGGCGGAGGAGGAAGGAGAGGGGCAAGGATACCGGAGGGCACAAGGGGGGGCGCGAGCCGAGCGGGAACAGGCGGAGGGGGAAGACAAGGAATTTGGACGCCCGACATGTGTACGGAAAAATGGGCACAATGCCCAACAACAAATGTTTTCCTGAACCAACAGCGGCCGCTGTTGGGCAGGCGGCCTTCTGTCTCAAATGAACACAGGCCGCGGCGGCGCGGACAGCGAGTCCTGTTCAAAATGGACAGAAACAACTCTTGGGCATTGTACCCATTCATTCCGTAACCACTTCGTTCGTGCAGAAGGAAGGAGGCAAAGGAAGGCGGGGAAGCCCGGCGCCTGTCCGCCGCCTCATGCTCATCCTGAACCTCCTGAACCTCCTCCGCCTCCTCCTCCTCCTCCGCCTCCTCCTATAGATCGAGCCTCTCGCGAGGGGGCCAGCGCGAGGCAGGCTCGGAGCGACGTCCTCGCCTAGCCTTGCGTGCCCTCCTCTTTTCTCTTCCCTTTCACCCTTTCCAGGCGTGGTGTGCCCAGCTGGTGGCGGAAGTGGAACTCGCGCCACCCAGCCCAACCCCTGCCTGCGAGAACAACGAGCCGCTTGATCCGACGTTCGACTTCGACTACAACCCCTCCCTCACTCACTCCCTCCCTCCTTCCTTAACCTCACTCCTCCTCTGAGAATGAGGAAGTGGTCGAGTACGAGGACGACGACGAACTGGACTCTCCAGAGGCCACGGGACACCCCCCAGAGGCCTCAGGAGGCCACGACGCCGACGACCTCCGACAACCTGGGGGAGCATTCGGGAGCCCAAAAGAGCCGACAGAGACATTGGAAGAGAACACCTGGAGAACCCTTCGAAAGCTGAAGACAACGCCGACAAGGGCAGCGAAAATGACATTGACAATAACGAAGCCAACAACCCGCGCCATCACCACGACGACGGCAACCACGACGGCTACGATGACGACGACGACAAAGATGACGACAACGACGAAGACGGCGACGACGACACCGAAGACGACGGCGAAGATGACCACGACGACGAAGAAGAACTCGACGACGACCGACCGACCGACCGACCGACAACGACGACGCTGTCGGCGAAGACGCTGACGCGGACGACAACAACGACGACGACCACGACGACGACGACGACGACGACGACGACGACGACGACGACGACGACAACAACAACAACAACGAAAGCCACGACGATACCGATTACGACGAGATCGACCGGGGAGGCCACGACGTGGACGGCGACCACGGCAACGACGGCGACGACGACGGCACGTCGTCTACTGAGGGGCGGTGCCCTGGCGGACTGACACTACCCTTCCCCTCCCACTCCTCCCCCCCTCCTCCGCCTCCTCCTCCCTCTCCTCCTTATCCTCCTCCTCCTCCTCTTCCTCCCCCTCCTCCTCCTGCTCCTTCTCCTCCTCCTCCTCCTCCTCTCCCAGCTCCTCCTCATCTCCCTCCTCCTCCTCCTCCTCCTCCTCCTCCTCCTCCTCCTCCTCCTCCTCCTCCTCCTCCTCCTCCTCCTTCTCCTCCTCCTCCCTCCTCCTCCTCCTCCTCGTCCTCCTCTTCCTCCTCTTCCTCCTCCTCTTCCTCCTCCTCCTGTTCCTCTCCCTGACGACGACGGCATCGACGACGACGTCGACGGCGACGGCGACGGCGATGACGACGACGACGCCGAAACGGCGACGATGCCACAGCCGCTCGCCTCGTAGGAACGGGCGCTGGCAGCCACGGGGCGGCAATCGCCGCTCGGCGCGCAGATCCTTCTCGGGGGGGGATCACCACTGTTCGTCGTCACCCTCGCCGTCGCCGCCGCCGCCGTCGCCGTCGCCGTCGGTGTCGCCGTCGCCATCGTCGTCGTCGTCGTCGTCGTCGTCGTCGTCGTCCTCGTCGTCGCCAATATTCCCCGTCGTCGTCGGCGTCGTCGTCGCCGTCGTCGCCTGAGGTGTGTGATTGTGTCGTGGTGGTGATGATGGGATCGCCGCCGTCGAGGCCGCCTTCGCCGTCGCCGTCGCTGTCGTCGTCGTCGTCGTCGTTGTCGTCGTCCTCGTCGTCGCCAATATTCCCCGCCGTCGTCGTCGTCGTCGTCGCCGCCGCCGTCGACGTCGCCGTCGCCATCGTAGTCGTCGTCGTCGTCGTCGTCGTCGTCGTCGTCGTCGTCGTCGTCGTCGTCGTCGCCGTCGTGGCCGTCGCCGTCGTCGTCGTCCACGTCGTCGCCAATATTCCCCGTCGTCGTCGTCGTCGCCGTCCCCGTCGCCGTCGCCATCGCCATCGAAGTCGTCGGCGTCGTCGTTGTCGTCTTCGTCGTCGTCGTCGCCATCGTCACCTGAGTGGTGCGATTGTGTAGTGGTGGTGGTGATGGGATCTTCGCCGTCGAGGCCGCCGTCGCCGTCGCCGCCGTCGCCGTCGTCGTCGTCGTCGTCGTCGTCGCCAATATTCCCCGTCGTCGTCGTCGTCGTAGCCATCGCCGTCGCCGTCGCCATCGCCACCGTAGTCGTCGTCGTCGCCGTTGTCGTCGCCGTCGAAGTCGTCGCCGTCGTCGTCGTCGTCGACGTTGTCGTCCTCGTCGTCGCCAATATTCCCCGTCGTCGTCGTCGCCGTCGCCGTCGCCATCGCCATCGTAGTCGTCGTCGTCGTCGTCGTCGTCGTCGTCGTGGTCGTCGTCGTCGTCGTCGTCATCGTCGTCGTGGTCGTTGTCGTCCTCGTCGCCTGAGTTGTGTGATTGTGTCGTGGTGGTGGTGATGGGATCGCCGCCGTCGAGGCCGCCGTCGACGTCGCCATCGCTTTCGCAGTCGCCGTCATCGTCCTCGTCGTCCTCGTCGTCGCATAAATTCCCCGTCGTCGTCGTCGCCGTCGCCGTCGCTGTCGCCGTCGCCATCGTCGTCGTCGTCGTCGTCGTCGTCGTCGTTGTCGTCGTCGCCGTCGTCGCCGTCGCCGTCGTCGTCGTCGTCGCCAATATTCCCCGTCGTCGTCGTCGCCGTCGCCGTCGACGTCGCCATCGCCATTGTCGTCGTCGTCGTCGTCGTCGCCGTCGTCGCCGTCGCCGTCGTCGTCGTCGTCGTCGTCCTCGTCGTCGCCAATACTCCCCGTCGTCGTCGTCGTCGTCGCCGTCCCCGTCGCCGTCGCCATCGCCATCGTAGTGGTCGGCCTCGTCGTTGTCGTCTTCGTCGTCGTCGCCGTCGTCGCCTGAGTGGTGTGATTGTGTCGTGGTGGTGGTGATGGGATCTTCGCCGTCGAGGCCGCCGTCGCCGTCGCCGTCGAGGTCGCGATCCGCAGAGCATTGCGTTTGCATATCGTCCGAACAAGCAATCCGCCGATCCCTCGGAGTGTGCGAGAAGCTTTGCCCTCGTCGTCGTCGTCGTCGTCGTCGTCGCCGGTCCCATAAAAATCGAGCAACAAGGGAAAGAAACGTCTTAGGTTATGCGATTCCCTCCCCTTTTTCCCATCCCTGACGGGGGGGGAGGGTGCCCAGATCAGAATACCGCCCCCTCCCAGGGTCCCAGCGGGTCCCGGGGGGGGTCGCCAGCGGGGGTTCTGTGAGAGGCCCCTCCTTCAAGGTCAGCGGCGCCGGCTGTGAGGCCTTCGCGATATTGCTATGGTCGGGAAAGCTTGCTTAGCGTTCCGCCGCGGCGGCCACGGCTGCACTCTCTGCCCTGCAAGCGGATAGCGTGTCGCTCCGCCCAGGAGGGCGGGAGGCTGGGAAAGTCTCGGGACGTTGACGCTCGGGGACTGGAACGTGGATAGCGTCTCGCTCCGAAGTGAGGCGGGCCAGAACCGGCGGAACGACACGCTTGCAAAAAGTGCCCGACCGTACATCTCGCGGACAAGAAATATTGCTATGATCGGCCTTTCTATAAGAAATCTTGGGGGCGCACTCGTCGTCGAACTCTAGGGCCTGAAGGTGCCCCGGAGCTTCCGTGGGTCCCTGGGGCCACTGCGGGATAAGAGCTTTCCGTGGGGCACTGGCTGGCAGGCCGATCTCTTATTGTGGTGCGCCTACTGCATTGCCAAAGACACGCGTCGCCACCATAATGAGGGTGGCGGGTTCACGGCTGAATAGTTTTGCATCGCGTATCTGCGCACGAAGTCTCACCTCAAACAGGCCGTCGCCATCGCCGCCGTGATGGTCGTCGTCGCCGTCACAAATCGCCGCCGTCGTCGTCACGGTCGTCCTCGCCGTCGCTGTCGCCGTCGCCGTCGAGGATCGAGGGCCAGAGAACGAGAGTCGAGGTTAGGAGAACGAGGCTCTGGAAGTTGCAAGTTGCGGGGCCCTCCTTGGTCCTCCTCCTCCTCCTCCTCCTCCTCCTCCTCCTGCGCTGGCCTCCTGATGACAGCAGTGACCTGCGGAGGCCCCCGAGGACCATGGGAGACCCCGTGGGACCGCCGCAGGAAAACGTCCTCGTGCTCCTCGTCGTCGTCGTCGACGTCGTCGGTGGTGGACTGCCGCCGTCATCCAGCGTCCGTCGTCGTCGTCGTCCTCGACGGTGTCCTCCTCGTCCCCGGCCTCCGTCTCCTCCTCGTACTCCTTCTGCTTCACGCGATATTGAGCAAGGCCGTGCGTCTGACCCGAAGGGCGTGTGATCATGAAATCAAATGGACAACTAGCACATGTCATCCCTCCTCTTCCACATGTTCCTCCTCTTCCTTCCTCATCCCCCTTCATTCTGAACAACTCATCCCTGTGGCACACAAAGGGGGTGCCAGTAGGACGGGCACGGCGTTTCACCTGAGAGGCCCTCCCCACGCATGCACATAGAACTTGAAACCTGCAGCAGTTCCTCGGATGGAAGAGGGCAATGTTCAAAATGGGGCTCCCACCTGAGCACTGCAAAAACCCGTCTTAAAACATTGCAACCAGTACAAGGACGGAGCACCTCTGGTTTTCACAAACTGGGGTTCTAGCCAAAGCACCGCGCACAGTCCTTTTCAATTTTCGAACTTCGAAAACAGGCCGAAGCTCATGTTCATCATGGAACCCCCGCCTTAGCGCCCCGCACCTTCGTCCTAACAGTTTGCAGCAGGTTCAAGGATGGAAGGGGTCATTGTCAAAATGAGGGCTATCGCCTGGGCTCCGCGCGCAATCGATTTCAAAGCTTGCGGCAGCTACAGGCATGCATGGGGGTCGATTTCAAGATGGGCCTCTGTCCTAAGCGCCGCGCAAGCTGGTCTCAAGGATAGGGGGGGGGGGCGTGTTCCAAGTGGGGCTCTCGCCTCAGCCCCGCGCAGGTACGCGGTGAAAGTCTGCAAACGCTTCCAGGATGGAGGGCGGCGGTGCGTCAGACTGGGCTTACCACACGAGCGAGCACCACGCACCCGAATCTTAACAGAAAACTGTGTAACAGCTGCACGGAGGGAGGGCGGACGCTGCTCAAAATAGGGCTTTCGTTTTAGCGCCGCGCGCAGTCGCCTTACACGTTAGAAGCAGCTTCAAGGATGGATGACGGCCCCTTCTCTAACTCGGGCTTCCCTTTGAGACTTCGTTATATCCGGATACCAAAAACATCGACACACTTATGTAACAGCTGCGCGGATGGGGATCGACGCCGTTTTCCAAGTGGGGTTCTGACTTGATAAGTCCTCGCAGTTCATGGCCACAACACATGCGAACCTGTGCAACACTTACACAGATGCGTGGTGGACCATTAAAACACGAAAAATCGCTGGTTATCTTTGACTTGTATCATCGTGCATGCTCGCAATCCGTGGCAGTCGCTCAGGGGATGCGGAACTGTTCCTTTTCGAAACTGGGCTGTCGCTTAAACGGCACGTCCATAGGGTGCTGACGGTTCACGGGGGGCGCTCTTTCCAGTGAGGAAGAAAGCGGTTAGAGAGTTTGAAGGAGGAGACGCGGGACGGAAGGGTTGATTGCAGAATCTTTCATGCATCTTGGCTTCACTGTGGACCTCCTCCTCCTCCTCCTCCTCCTTCTCTTCCTCCCTCCTGCTTGCAGAGCCCTCCTGCTGCTGCTGCTCCTCCTGCTGCTGCTGCTCCTTCTCTGGCCACTCCTCTTCATTCTTCTCCTCCACCTCAACTAGGGAAAGGGAGCCGAGAGGAGGCCAGGGGAAGGGACAAGGGAGCGAGAGAGGGAAGGAGGGACGGGGGACGCCAGGGGGGAGGAATGGAGGCAGAGGCGAAGAGGGCAGGGGAGAGGGAGAGGGAGAGTGACAGAGGGAATGGCGGAGACGAGGAGGGGAGGAACAGGGAGGGAGCAGCGACGGGTGCAGGGATGGGCGAACGTTGAACAGGAGAAAGATGATGAGTGAAGGAGGATGAAATCAGCAGGAGGGGCGTGAGGAGATCGACAACGGGTATCAAGGACAATTGAGGCGAAAGACGGACGAACGTAAGGACGACGATGACGATGACGGCGATGACGACAACGAATGTGAGAAGGACGACGAGCACGAGTGCGATGGGGAACAATAGGGGGGACGGGGGGACTGTCTCAGGGGGGGAAGCATCGACGTGGAACTGGCGATACATCGCCGATAGATCGGCGACGGGCACCTGATAGCGCCACCGAACGTTCCTGTGGGGGATATCGGGCCCCTTATCGGAGATCCATGCGGCGACTGGGGGGCGGTCCGTTCCTCCCAGAGCCTATCCCCCCAAGTGATCCGTGTCGTCTGGCTTTCGGGTCATAGAGTCAACCAGTATAGCAAGGATGCGCGATAAGGATGCAAGGGCCTTGGGCGCCCATTTCGAAGCTTTTCGAGCTGGGCGCAGCCATCGAAAGCGGCGAAGGATGGACCGAGGAGGCAAGGATGCAAGGGTACCCTTGGGAAGGTTGCCCGTCGTAACTATGCGGGTTGACTGTAACTTGGGTCTCCGGCGGCCGTTCGGGACGACCTGGGCAGCCCCGGGCAGACCTCCTCGGCGAGGCCCAGCTGCCGAAAGGCACCCCGAGGCTGGAAAGCAGCAGAGAACCTACGAAGACGTCCGAAAAGTTGAACTTTGAACCGTATCCCGGACGTTGTCTCTGAGAGGGAGAGGGGAGGAGGAGGAGGAGGAGGAGGAGGAGGAGGAGGAGGAGGAGGAGGAGGAGGAGGAGGGAGGAGGAGGAGAGGAGGAGGAGAAGGAGGAGGAGGAGGAGGAGGAGGAGGAGGAGGAGGAGGAGGGAGGAGGAGGAGGAGGAGGAGGAGGGAGGAGGAGGAGGAGGAGGAGGAGGAGGGGGAGGGAGACCTGCCCACGCCGCCGCGCGCGCCGAGTCCTGCGGGCCCCGCGTCGTCTGTGGGGGGCGGTGCCTCGGTGGGGGGGGGGCATCCATCATATTTCCTTCGATCCTCCTCCTCCTCCACCATATTTCCTTCGATCCTCCTCCTCCTTCGATGCTCCTCCTCCTCGATCCTCCTCCTCCTCCTCCTCCTCCTCCTCCTCCTCCCCTCCCCCTTCTCTTCCCCTCCCTCTCTCCCTCCTGAAACATCACGACCTCCTCTGCCTCCTCGTCCTCCGCATCTCCTGAGGCCACCACAACAGTCGCGCCCTCGTCCTTGCCCACCTTCTCGAGATTCGACTCGTTATCCTTCCTCGGTCCTCCACCTTCTACCCTTGCACCCCCTCCTCTTCATTCTTCTTATCGTTCCTCTGCTGCTGCGATGCCTCCCCCTCCTCCTCATCATCATTCGCATCATCAGCATTGCCATCATCATCAGCATCATCATCACCATCGTCGTCATTGTCAATTGTCCTTAGCATCGTCACCATCCTCAATTTCCTCCTCCTCCTCCTCCTCCTCATCATCATCATCACCACCACCTCCATCATCATCATCATCATCATCATCATCACCACCACCATCATCATCATCATCATCATCACCACCACCATCATCATCATCATCATCGTCATCGTCATCGTCATCGTCATTGTCATCATCATCAGCAGCATCATCATCAGTGTCGTCACCATCATCATCATCATCATCATCATCATCATCATCATCATCATCATCATCATCAGCAGCAGCAGCAGCAGCAGCATCATCCCGATCATCATCAGTATCATCATCACCACCATCGGCATCACCATCATCAAAAGCATCGTCGCTAGCACCACCATCCTCATCATATCGAGCTTCATCATCATCAGCATCATCATCATAATCACCACCACCACAATCATCAGCATCATCATCACCAGCATCAAACTTATCATCATCACCAGCATCAGCATCAGCATCATCAGCACCATCATCCTCAACATCATCAGCATCATCACCACCACCATCACCATCAACATCAGCATCATCATCATCATCATCAGCATCATCATCATCAGCATCATTAGCATGACGATCATCAGCATTGTCATCGTCATCGTCATCAGCATCGTCATCGACAGCATCATTACCAGCACCATCATCAGCATCATCATTGACAGCATCAACATCAGCAGATTCAGCATCACCATCATCATCAGCAGCAGCATCAGAATCAGCATCATCATTACTGTCATCATCATCAGCAGCATCATTATCAGCATCATCACCGTCTCAACGTCCTCGTAAGTATCGGCATCGTCATCATCGTCAGAATCAGCATCATCATTACCACCATTATCAACAGCATCAGCATCAGCATCATAATCACCAGCATCATCATCATCATCATCATCATCAGCATCACCATCATCGCCATCATCAGCATCGTCCTCATCATCATCAGCATCATCATCGGCACCATCATCTACAGCATCAGCATCAGCATCAGCATCGTCATCATCATCATCATCATCATCATCATCATCAAGATCATCATCATCATCATCATCATCATCATCATCGTCATCGTCATCGTCATCGTCATCATCATCGTTGTCGTCGTCGAAAACCCCAGGACCCACATATGGTTACAGTTCTGGTCGGCGTCCGAGCCGAACGATACTGAGGCCCGCAAGGCTTGAGGCCACTGCAGCTTGGTAGCTGGACTGAATGACGTCACCACCCTCTGGGAGAAGCGAGGAAATGATGCTGCATACGAGTTCTTGAAGCAAGGAGCCAAGCTGCACATAATGCGTGAGACTGACTACCATCGATGGCGCGGCTTAGTAGAGTTGGCCCGGGAGGCCGCGAGATAGAGTGCGGGGTTGCACACGTTTAAGGGAAACGGGTTGGAGGCGACTGATCACGCTGATCTGATGTAGTTCTACACCAGCCAGCGCCCCGCGGAGTGGGCCTCGCGCACGGCTGAGAGCTCTCCTCTTATCCCGCCCGCTGCCGCGCAGCCAGAACCCTCGGAGGCTCCCAAATCAGAATTGTTCAACGCCCCCTTCCCAGGACCCCGCAGAAGAGTGGGAGAACTTTCGGGCCCCGCCGAAGGGTGGGAGAACTTTCGGGATGTGGGCTACCACTTTAATGGGCACCCCCTCTTGCACGCGCGAGCGACGGCGATATCGGGCAGAGAGGACGGGATTGCCCTAAGGTGCTGCTGTGCTTGCGGAACCTTCTCCTCAGGGCAAAACCCCACTCGGGCCCTCCTCAAGCAGTGCCGTCGTGAGCACGAGTCTTCTGGCCGTACCGAGCAGCTGCGGAGACTGAAAGCTCGACGACGACCGTCGTGCAAGGCAGGTCTGACAGGCCTACTCCTGGGTCCTCCGGACGGTGCGCCTGGCAAGCATTTCCGATCCCAATTCGGAGGGTGTCAGGGGGGCGACACAGTGCGCTTGGGGGCACGGGGGCGCGACAAGCTAGTCCCCCAGGTCCGCCGACCCCAGGGACCTCGTGCACGGAGTTTTCGGCTTGTCCGGGGCCGACGTCCCCTCGGTTGAAGCCCTTAGGGCGCGCCGCCTCTCCGAAGCAGAGGAGGTGTTCGAGTCGGCTTCCGAGGCGGGAGACGATAGTGACTCCGACCTCGAAAATGAAGGGCCGTGCCGTCGACTGACATTTGGCCGCTGTCTAATACTATCTCATCATCATCACCATCATCATTTTCAGCAGCATCATCGTCGTCAGCATCCTCACCACCATCCTCATCATCATCATCACACCCACCACTAATAACAACAATAGCAGCATCATCATCACACCCATCGTCATCATCATCCTCACACCCCTTGTCCTGCTCCCCAATCTTTTCCCCCCCGTCCTCCTCCGCCTCCTCCTCCTCCTCCACCTCCTCTTCCTCCTCCTCCTCCGCCCCCTCAGGTCAGGTCAAGCCGTAGGCTGCGGCAGCCCATGGGCACGTGCATGTATGAGTGGGCCGGGACTCCGTCTTTGACGGCATCCGCCCTGCGGGCTGCCCGGCGCAGCATATGGATGTGCATGCATTCCTGTGGTGCTGTGGAGGGAGAAAAAGAAACGAGAGCGAGAACATCCAGCCGGCTGCCATTACCCGCCGCGCCAGATGGCCGCTTTGGCACAGCTGCACAAGTGGATGGGGAAGAAGAGGGGGAGGAAGAGGCAGAAGAGGAGGAGGTGCCGCCAGGCCTCCTTGACGATCCTGCGCCAGCGCGGCTCGTTGGACACGGTGTCCCGCAGTCCTTGCAGACTCCATGCGATCCGGATTCCATGAGGTGGTACTGTGCGGACCCACTCCATTCGCGGCCTTCCGCGGGCCCAGACGTAGCGATCTGTTGTTGGCCAGAGAGACTGGCCAGGAAAGAACGATACATCTCGCACGGCGGTCCTTTCTGGCTGCCGGATCACCTTCCCCAGCAAGCGCAGCTGTCTGCGCTGGAACTGCATGGAAGCAGCTTCCGCGCCAGGACAGAAGCGTTCGAAATCCGGGAAACAACGCAGGGGGGATCTTCAGGATTACCCTGAGGCATCGATCGTGATTGGAACCCGTCCTGTCTGCGAAGGTAGGACTTCGCGGAAAAAGCCGCTGCCAAGCTGTAAAGCGGCTTTAACTCGATCAGCGCGTGGAGCACTCGAAGCCGCCAATGCTAAGACAAAGATGAATGTCTCCAAATCTGCCGAACTGCCCGGAAGGCTGCGTGTGCCAGCCCGATTCGTCGAGTGAGTTCCCCCGTCGTTCTGGCATCCGCTGACAGAGATGCGCCCAGGTACGTCAGCGACTCCTCCGGCTCCACGTCGTGGCCAGAAACGCGAAGAGGTCTGTTCACGCGGGCTTGCAACAGATGGAGCTTGTCCAAGTGAAGCTCCAGGCCGTACACCTTCCCTGCCCACGCCACGCACTCTGCGAACTCCTCGACGTGCGCCGTGACTGCCCCTATCAGCAAGGTGTCGTCAGCAAACGCAATATCTGCAAGGTCTTGTTTTCGATGTGCCTCTGCGGCGGAGAGGCCCAAAAGAGCCACGGCGCCCTCCATCAACGCACTCATGACGACGATGAACAAAAGCTGGTTGAGGGTAAATCCCTGTGAGATTCCGGACTTCTGGCGGCGCCTGGTGGACTGGTGCCCCATGTCGTCGACGTAGAAATGTCGGCCGCCCATAATGCCTCGCAGCAGTTCGCGGCACCTTGCGAGGATGCCGAAGCGTCCCAGAGCAGTCATCATGCCGTCTACGCGAACGCTGACGAATGCTGCTTTTCTCCAGTCGAGCGCAAGCAGGGAGACCGACCCGTGCTTGCGGGCGCAGGCAAGTTCGATGTAACGCCGAGCTATATAGATTGCGTCCTGTGTGTTCCTCTTTGCCCAGAAGCCGAACTGGGTAGACCAGAGACGCCCGTCGAGGCCTGCGTCCACAAAACGCTGCTGGTCATGCTAGCAGAAATCCGGTACGCCACGGACGTAAGACAAATTGGGCGATAATTGTTCATGCAACCAGGGTCGTTTTTCTTGTAGATCATAGTCACGCGAGCAGTCGCCCACTCATCTGGAACTGCTCGCTCACGAAGACAACTGTTCATCGCCTCCAGAAGGACATCCAGGTCTGTCCCGACCGAGTTTGCCAAAGTCTTGAAAATTTCGATTGGCACGTCTCCATCAAGGACACTTCTGCCGCCGGCCATCTTCACAATGGCCTTGCGGAGATCCGCGTGGGCGAACGGGAACTCAACGACCCGTAGTGGCGGATGACTTGGGATGTCCCTGTCGGGAACCGCTGCTGCCGGCAGGGCTCGCCACTTCACGGTTTCCAAAAACTGCGCGAAAGTCTCCGCCCAGTCTTCTGCGTTGACGATCTCGCCGCCCGCAATTGTCAGTCTCGTCTGTAGAACCTTCTTTCCCCGGCGGAGTCTCTGCACCGATCCCCAGTCGCCTCTTGCAGCAATATCCCGGAGCCAACTTGCCCGATCTCTGCGGGCAGCGCGTTCGATCTCCTTGGACAAATACTTCTCTCGGCCCATATCCCCGAACTGTCGCGCGAGACACCGTTGTTCGATCAAGCCGAGAATGTCTCCGCTGATCCAAGGTCTGCGTCGGGTTCGTGCCTCCGCCAGGACACAGTCCTCCAAGGCTGTGCAAATGCCTTGGCGTAGAGGCTCCCAGGCGTCGGCCAGCTGCTCGTTCAGGGCGCCCTCGGAGCCGCCGGTGTTCGCTCTAACGTTGACCAGGAAAGCAGTCTTCACGTGCTGGCGTCGCAGGGCCTGCCAATCGCACCTCGGTCGGCGCGCCAGTCTGTCCACGCCGCACGGCCCGACTCTGACTGTAGCCAAGACCAGGAAGTGGTGCGACGATATGGCAGCAAACGGGTCGCTGCGCAGCGTAAGTACATCATCCAAGAGCTCTGCTGGATCGAGAACGAAATCCAGCCTTGCAGAATTCTCTGGGGCGATGGGGGAGGCCGGCGTAGCATGAGGTTCATAGGAGCTCTAGACCCTCATACACACACTCCCCTTTCTTCTAAAGGCCGCAAGTTGTGCGGCGCGTACACCGCAACAAGTCTTATTCTCAAGTTGGCCACCCTGCCCCCGACCAGCCTGAAACTCAGGTCGTGTTTCCGGAAACGTGGGGCGATGATGAAGCCCACGCCTGCCCATTCTGGGCCCTCTGTGCCAGAACCAGAAAGTTTAACCTCGCACCCTGAATATGGAATGAATGTGTCGGACTTGCCCTCCCGGGTTTCCTGGAAAATTGTCACATCCACCGAATTCGCACTCGTATAAATTTTGGTTTGTTCAATCTTGACGTCAGTGAGGCCCTCGACGTTCCAACTGCATACATTGATGTACTCGCCGGTGGGCGAAAACTTGATTGAATTATCCATGGGCCGCCCTGCGTCCTACTTGGCTGTGTCTCCCTTGCCTTCCTTCCCCTTGCCAGAGCCAGAGGGATGCTCTTTGGCCCTGTCGAGCCGGGATTGTGCATTGGACGACAGGGAGACGAGCTCCGGGGAATGCTGCAGGTCCTCCCACTTCTCCCAGTCGCCACTGCGCCACTTCAGCTGCAGCGTGTAGTCCTGGACCTCCACCGTGACGATGTCCTCGCCTGCCACCTTCAGCACGCGGCGCCCGGTGTCGACCTCGACCTCCTTTTTGTTGTAGCCCCACTGAAGCAGCATACGTTTGAAGGCGAAGAGGGCTGACTCCGCCGTGCGAGGACCCAGGGGCAGATCGAGCTTCGCCCACGGCTGCCCTGAGGCTCCCTGGGGGTACTGGCGAATGACGGAAATGAGCGAATCCCGGTATGCAGCAGAAGGGCACTTCACAAAGACAATTGTCTTGAACTCGCCCCCTTTGGTGAAAGGATCTGGGGGTGTGGGGACGCTGGTGTCCCTGCAGCGCTTGTGGATCCTCTTCTTGACCTTGTCGAGGGTGTCCGCGTTGGGGGCGTCGCCGATGACCACGGTGAGGTTCTCGCCCGAGGCCTGCTGCGCTGCTGCGCCCTGGATGCTTTCAAGGTCCCCCATTGAGCTTGGCAAGTTTTTTCTGGACAGACTCCTGGTTCTCCTCCATTCCTGCCATGCGCAATCCCATGTCATTCAGCTACTTGCGTACTTCTCGTTTAAACGTGACCAAATCCCCAAGCGACCGATCGACTGACATCTTCACCGGCTTCAACTTTGCCTGCAGCAGCTTCTGGATGTTCCCCATGGTAACCTTGTTCGGGTCTTCCTCCACGAAGTCCTCTTCGTCAATGAGGCCATCATCCGGCCGGCCCCTTTTTGGCAGGGGTGAGGAAACAGGAAGAGACATGATGCGTTCAGGGTCACGTGCAAATGAGATGGGTAAGGTGTGAGATCGGAGGAAAAGCGTACGGTATCAGTGTAGGCATGTATGCCTGTATGCCTTGTAGGCCTGCACGCCCCCCTCCCCGCACTTTTTTTCCGCCCCCTCATCCCCTGCTCCTTTTCTTCGTCCTGCTCCTCCTCCACCTCCTCCACCTCCTCCTCCTCCACCTCCTCCTCCCTCCTCTCTTCCTCCTCCTCCCGACGACGACGACGACGATGACGCGGCCAGCACGGCGACGGAAACGACGGCGACGGCAGCGGCTACGACGACGAACGACAACGGCGACGACGCTACGAGGGCGGCGGCGGAAACAACGGCGACGTTGGCGACGACGACAACGGCGGCGAGGCCTCGGGCGGCTCCGGCCGCGTCGGCGGGCGCACGGGCGGCGGGGGCGAAAGCTCCGCGAGTTCCGCCAGCGAGCTGGCCGGAGTGGCCTCCGTGCCGTCCAAGGAGGCCTGGCAGACGGGACGCGTCGTCGACACCAACAACGTTTCCGTCGTCGTCGTCGTCGTCACCGTCGCCGCCCCCGTCGTCGACGTCGTCGTCGCCGCGGTCGAAGCGGGGGAGGAGGAAGGGAAGGAGGAAAGGGACGAGGAGGAAGGGGAGAAGGACGAGGAGGAGGAGGAGGAGGAGGAAGAGGAGGGTTTTGTCTCCTCCACCGCAGTTGCACTTACCCTGTCCATGACAGGTCGAACCGCGCACACGCAGGGGAGGAGGGGCGGAGGCGCAACGCAGAGAAGCATTAAGAGCAGCAGGAGAGGCAGGTCAGAGCAGCGGCGGGCACTCCGCACGAGGAGCCCATCGTCCCTGGGGGGGGGCCATCCATCCCCCGGGTTTACACTACGTATTAGCGTTCGCGGGGTTTGCAGCGGTGTCAATCGGAATGCGCTTAGCAGGCTCGCTTCGGACCCGCTTCCTTCGTAAAACACGTAGGATTCGCGTCGCGACGGATTGCGCGGAGCGCTTGTCCAGCCACCTCGGAGCCGCTCCCGCTCGCGCAAAGTCGCACGGCATTCTTGGCGCGCCGCTCCGGAGCCGTTCCTGCGCGTGCCGGCTCGCACGGAATGCTTGGGGCCGCTCTGGAGCCGGCGCAGGCGCTCCCGCAGGCCTGCGCCGGGCTCGCTGCATCGTTCGTCATGGTGTCGTTCGGGCTGGTTAATGTTTTGCGTTTTTCGTTTTGAGGGTTTAGGGTTTAGGGTCCACTAGCCCAAACTTGCAGCCCACCTGACCGTGTCCCACCCATCCATGACCCAAGACATATTGATCTCGATGCGGTATCAACACGCAATTCGCAAAACGACGACGAGGACGACACCGATGACGACGACGTTGATATTGTTTTCAAAACGACGACGACGCGGCCGCGCAAAGACGGCGGGGTGGCCCCTGGGGAAGGGCACGGGGGCGGCTCTCAACCCGAAAGGGTCGAGGTCGCGCCCGTACCTTTCGCGAAGGACAGTACTGACGCCATGCCTGGCATACCGAGGCCATGAACGTCTGCCACGAGTCTGGGCGAGGGGAGCACCCTGCACTTTCGCAGGCTCTCCCAGAACGCCACTCCCGGTACTCCGGGAGTTTGCAGATCCTCCCAGAACGCCATTCCTGGCGCTCCGAAGGCAAGGATCTGCATGAGGGGTGCGTCCTGGGATTTGCGGAGCGGGCCAGAACGCCATTCCTGGCGCTCCGATGCCAAGGATCTGCGTGAGGGGCGCACCCTGGGATTAGCAGATCCTCCCAGAACGCCATTCCTGGCGCTCCGAGGGCAAGGATCTGCGTGAGGGGTGCGCCAAAATGGGGGGGGGGCGGCCGAAGGAGGGACTTAAGGGATTTTAGGATTTAAATCTTTATAGGCTCTTAGTTTTTATCATGCAAGGGTCCCGTCGGCTCCTACCAAGATCGGACCATCGCGATCCGAGCCAAACGCCACTCCTGCACGAGCGCGGACCACCATCACTCCCCACCGAGCGACGGGCCGAACCCACAACAGCGGCGAAGCAGAGTTTAAAACAGGGGCACGTCCCACAGAAACGGGGGCACATCAAAAAGAGAACCCAGCGACACAGGAGCCGCGAGCCACGTCGAGAACCTGGCGCGGGGCGGCTGGTCAAGAGCAGACGACAGCGGCAGGGAACCGCAGGTGCCTCGAACTTCGTTGGGAACCTGGCGCCGGCGGGCGGGCACAGAGCTCTCAGGAGCAGAGCGCTTTAGGCACCACATGCCGCCTGCAAGCATGTGTACTGAATGCCCAGGGCAGCTAGCCAGCAAAAAGCCACGCTCTACTCCCTGTGCCGAAAGACCGACTGCCGCCGAACCGACGGGTCGGGTAAGGAACCGTACTTCAAGCTCCACACGGCAGGGGGCGGCAGGCGCGGGCGCGGCGAAAGAGGCGAGAGAGACGGCAGACAGCCCCCCCCGCCCCCAGCCGAGCGGGAAACGAAAGCACACAAGCAAGGACACAAGAAGAAGGAACAGTAAGCAGCAGGGAACAGAAAGGGGAGAGACAAGGGACAACAGCATGCACATGAGAGAGGGCAGCAGGAGGAACAGCCCAAGGGAACCGCGGAAGGCAGCAAACCGAAGACCAGGGGGGACACAAGACCAACGGCGGCGACGGGAGGAGCCGACGGCGGGACGACGGAGCAGAACAGGCAGAAAGGGCAAGGAAAGGAGAGGAAAACAGGCGGACAAAGGCCAGTGCCCGCAAGCCACTCATGCGAACCTGGGTGATCATGGCCGTCCGTGAATTAGCTAAGAAATCTAAGACACATAGTAAAATCATAATCAGATTCCAGCATCGCCAAAAAACAACTCGGACAACTGTCAGCCAACCTTCAGACACCCACAAGGGTCAGAAAAAACTGAAAATCAGATACAGGAGCAGGGGCCACAGGGGAGGAGGAGGAGGAGGAGGAGGAGGAGGAGAAGGAGGAGGAGGCGCAGGAGGAGGAAGCGGAGGAGGAGGAGGAGGAGGAGGAGGAGGAGGAGGAGGAGGCAGAGGAGGAGGAGGAGCCGGAGGACGAGAAGGAGAAGGAGAAGGAGAAGGAGAAGGAGGAGGACCAGCTCGGTCTCCGCAGGCTCGGCCCCAGGGGGTGGGGGGGCGTCGTGACCACAAACCGCACCTGGGCATCAAAAATACGCTGCGCGCGCGCTCTGCAATGCGCCTTTCGGCCAACGACAGAGGCCGTCCCTCCTCAGAAGAAGGACCGGTGGATGTCCTCGTCCTTGGCGACCATCTCTCCGTTCACGATCTCCTGCCACGCGTACACGGGCCACGCGAAGCCGCTGGCCATGCAGGTGAGCGCCAGGGGCACGTCGATCATGATCTCCTTCTTCGTGTCCAGCGTGCGGCGCAGGTAGCTCCGCCCGGCCCAGCCGATCCAGCCGGTGGTGTAGATGAAGGCCAGCGAGGACGGGATGATGCCTCCGCGCACGAACTCACCGGTGGCGATGGTGCGCGGGACGCCGTCCTTCTTGCCGCAGAGGCGCTCGCCGTAAGCCTCCTTCCGCCGCTGCAGGCCCGCCTTCTTCTTCAGGAGGCGGTTGTAGACGGCGGTGTCCTTGGGGTACTTCTTCAGCTTCGAGTCGACCTTGAAGAACTTGTCCTTCCACTTCTTGGCGTATTTCTTGTTGTCCTTTCGGGGGCCCCAACAGGAGCGAGGGGGGGACCAGCTCAGGCGGGTGACGCATCGCGCTGGGATCGGAGCTACATCGGCGACAGGTCGGCGACAGGCCGCCGCCAGCGCAAGCACACCTTCCTGGAAGGGGGGGTGGGCCGTCAGGCCCATATCGACAACTACGGGGCGATTGGGGATCGGTCGATGCGTTCCCCGTCCTCCTCGTCGTCGTCGTCCTCCTCGTGGTCGTCGTCGTCTGAAGCTCCCTCTCCCTGACGCTGCACCCGCAGTCCTTACACAGCTCCAAGTACTTCGCGGCCTTGATCGTGAACTTGTCCAGCGTGGGCCTGACGGCGTTCGAGTCCCTGTCCAGGGCCTCGGCGGGCGGCGTCAAGGCCGCGAACACCATGCCAGCGAGGAGGCCAGCGCCGATCCACTTCAGCGGGGAGGGCTCCTGCTGCCAGGCAGTGCCACGGGGGGCCACCACTTCAGCAGGAACGCGCACGATCCTTCACCGTGCCCCTGTGGCACGAAGTGGAGTGTCCCCAGGTCCCCTGCTCAACCCCCGAGCCACAGTCCTCAATCCTGGGGATGCTTGAGGAGGCCCAGACCCCTGGCTCTCAAATCGTCTAACGCTTCTGGCGCGCCCTCTGGGCTCACCCGAGTAGTCCCGCATGGCTTCTCGCGGCCAGGAGGGCCCCAAGAGGCTGCCCAGACGGTCCAAGGGCGCCCCGCATCGCCGAACGATCGGTCTAAGGCGCCCAAGATGGCCCAAGAAGCCTTCGAGACCCCCCAAAGAGGAGCCCCAAGAGCAGGAGCCTTCCCAAAGGGGGCCCGAGAGACAAAGATCATTGATGTTCCTGATGGTTTTGCAGTGTTGTTTGGGTTCTCTACTTTTCCAGCCTCCGACGCTCCAAGACGTCCCAAGAGGCCCCAGGACCACCTAGAGATAACCCGAGATTTCCCCAAGAGAGCCCCATGGCGGCCCAAGAGGGCTCCGAGACGGCCCAAGATGCGTCCAACACGGGCCACGAGGGCCGCAAGACCGCCCTAATTTGGGCACAAGAGGGGGGGGAACGCGAACCAAGAATCCAAGCAATCCGCCGCAAGATGCACCCAGGAGGCCCCAAGAGGCCCCCAAGACGGCCCCAAGAGATCCCGAAGAGACCCCGAAGAGGCTCCGAAGAGGCCCCCAAGGGGGCCCAAGAGGCCCTTAAGAGACCCCAAAGAGGCCCAAAACAGCCCCCCAGCGGCTTCCAAACTGTCTCCAGGAGGCCCCTGAGAGGCCTCGACGAGACCTCAACGAATATCCAAGAGGCATCAGACCCACAACCCAGGCAGGGTGGTGCGAGAGGTCGAATGCCATTCGACCTGCTTGGCACGGGGACGGAAAGCGCACGTACACTGTGAGGGCGCGAGATCGCTTGCTCAGTGTCTGGGAGCCTTCTTGGTGTTCTGACTGTGGCATGCCATGCAACACAAATTAACAAACAACCTTGCGAACATCAATGCACATGGCCTCTCCGGGTCTTTGGGGGGAGGGTCCTTTTGTGGCTCCTTCGGGGCGTTCTTGGCCCCCTTTGGGACGTCCTGGGGCCCTCTTGGGCCGTCCTGGGAGGCTCGGGTCGTCTTGGGGCCCTCTCGGGGGCCTGCCGAGACCCTCTCGGGGCTCTCTTGAGAACCTTTGGGGGCCCTTAGCGGCCTCTCGGGCCGTCGTGGGGCCTTCTTGGGCCGTCTTGGAGCCCTCTTGGGCCGTCTTGGGGCCATCTTGGGGGCCATCTTGGGGGCCTCCTGTGCCGTCTTGGCGCGATCCTGGGGCCTCTTTGGCCGTCGTGGACGCGATGTCGACAAAAGAATCAGATATGCTACAACTGTATATGTTGCCAGAAAAGGAATGATATG